TTGCCTAAATATTTTGTCAATCTGTCTCCTTCTCTCCATCAATCTAGCCCTGGCTACCACCTGTTCTTATCAGACAATTGCAATAGCTTCCTGAGTATTTTCTGGCTCTATCCGTTCGCCAGTTTGATGCCAGAAGAGCCTTTAAAATCCTACTATGTCACTTTCCTACTTACAACTCTTCAAGGCTGTCTTACTGCCTTCAGAGGCAAGTTCTAAATCCTTAGCAGGTCTTTCACACCTCTTAGCTTTCACACACACCCTTGTTCAACATAACCCCCTTGCCCACCTTGTCTATTTAGCAACTAGCAAACGTGTTGTGTGTGTCAGCTTAACAGTCGCTCCCACAGTGACGCCGTCCCGATGCCCCACACTGGGTCAGGTCTCCTGGACACACCCTCCTACGATACTACCCCTCCCTTTTTTTTTGCCTTTGCAGCCCGCAGCACTCTGCCCATGTATGTTTATCACACTATGCATACACAGTCACTGTTTGTCTTTTCCCCCAGAGGACAAGCTCTAGGTGGGAGGGCAGAGCCTTTTTCTGCACCACTGTAACTCCAGCACTTTAATATTAGCACAGGGTTGGTTGGCTCCTAAAAGATGCTCAAGTGATATCTGCTGACTTAGTCTTGGGAGATGAAGGTCTGGAAGACACAGAGAAGTGCTAAAAGCTTTGGACAAAAAGAGGTAGTCTGTACTATACCTGGTCTGTTATAAAACTTTTTCAAATATTTTTTTCAAAAAACATAGATACACAACACATAAACTCTCCTGCAGAGCACATTAATAGAAAATACATCTTCATAGGCTGAAAGGACGGACTGATAATTGTAGGCCCGGTAGCTGTAAGAACGCACAGCCAAGGCCCTGCCGCAATCACAGAGGACGTGAAAGGGAGAGGAGGGGTGGGCATTGCCCGGGTGCCGCGCCCAGTGCCTCCAGAGGGACCGATTCAGTCAGCACTCCTGTTTCCAGGAACACATGCCCTGGACGAACTGGGAATTCCAGTAAATGGTGCACATTTTAGGCACATACTGAAAGCCCACAGCCAGTGCTAAAGGATGGTTGTCCATTTTGAAATTCTGTGTAGGTCCCGGCTGGCGAACTGCCACTAACAACGATTTCTGCCCTCTTGCTGTCACTGGTATGTTGCCAATGTCTGAGAGTTGGAAGATGAGTCTGGCTCATTCACACTCAGGCCAGTCCATGGCCTCCTCTGGCCTGGCCTCTCCTCTGGCTCAGCTCAAGGATGCCCTGTCCAGGCCCTGTCCTGGCTTCAGAGAGCATCTGATCCATTTTCTCTCACCAAGCTGCATCTCCTTGACAACTTCCCTTGGAGGAGGTTATCACATTTCTCAAACACTTGCAGGAGTAAGAGGTAGCCTCCCCGTTTGCAAAAATCTCACTTAGAAACATTTTCCTTGTGTTAAACCAAAAAGCTTTTTCCATTTGGATTTGGAACATTAAAGGACACTCATTCTCAAAAGCAAACACATATGGTCAGACAAATGCCACACTTAAAAAAAAAAATCTTCCTGGAGTGATTTTGTTGATCTGAACTGACCAGGTCATAAAAGTATTTCCCAGTAAACAGTAAAGTAGTCACCCACCCACAGACAACAGAAATCTTACAAGGAGAAAAAAAAATCATGATTCAAAGGGAAGGGAGGAATCTTGTTATGTAGGGGAGAACGAGAGATTTCAAAACAGCTTTCTTAGGAAAGTCGTGCTTTATATTGCTGGTGTTTTATGTCATACACACAGAGAAAAGGAACTGGAGATGGTGGAGAAGGCGGGGGAGGGAAAAGGGAACGTGTGATGTACATAAACCGGGGGTGAACCAGACCACAGGAGTGTCTTGCCGTGACCTCCCCCGCTGCCTCCCCCACCGTCTTTCCTGAGGGCTGGTCAACAGCTCCCCACCCAGAGAAGCCTCTGGGTCCTGAAAGGCCTTCGATTCTTTCACACTGATCTTCTAGGTATTTACCTTATGAGCTTTTCAAAAGCTTCCTTCTCTTTCCGCAAAGCAGTGAGATAGCGCTGTTCCTCGGTGGAACCTCCGTATATAAGAAAGTAAACCCTGCAAGTTAAGACAGAACTCTTTTAGGCTGCAAACACATAATCTTTCATCCCTGGAAGGAAGAGCATGGCATTTGAAATCAGCCACTTAGAGTGTTCAAACAATAAATATTTGACCGAGCAGAAAAGGTTCCATTCATCACACACTTGCTAAAATTAAGCAGCCTAAACCCCACCTGTTGAAGGTCTCAGTACCACATGGGTTTTTTTTTTTTTTCCCCTTCTTTCACCAAAAGGAGGAACAGAGTTTAGGCAAACACTGAAATATAACAAAGATGGATAGAATAATTCTTTCCTCATAACTATAAACAAATCAGAAAACACACAATCTTAGCGGCTTCTCTTTTTTCAATTTTTTCTTTGCACCTCTGCCAAACAATCGTTTAAAAAGTTGGATAGTAGTTATAAAAGCCAGCTTATGAAAGCTCATGTTAGTGAAAAATAAACACATGAAATCTATATGACCTTTATCTTCACAAGTAATTTCTCAGCTCCTTTTTATTCATGTCTTAACAGAACTGAGGCATCACACATTTTATATAAACACATGGACACAGGAGACATATGGATTATATCAGGCTCCTCAAGAAATAATTTGACGTATTCTTTTCTCTTAGAAGAGCCAGCTTTTCTGTCTTGTTTGTTGCTAAGAAGCTGAATGAAGCACCCCCTCTGTCCCTTTTCTTCATCTTCTATCAGAGGTGTTTTCCTTATTTAGCTCTCGATTTTTCTTTCAGCCTTCACTTCCCTAGATTTTGTTCAAGTATGGACAGAAAAAAGACCATTGGACAGTGAATCCAGAGACCTCAGCTCTCCCACGAATGTATCACATGGCCAAGGGCAAGCCATTCACCACTTCCGGGCCTCAGTTTCCCACCGATGGATGGAGTGGCTGAACTCCCAGGGCCCTTCTGGTTCTGACATTTTGTTTCTAAGTATCACACTATTCTATTCTCAGGCAACAGAGAACTCTGGCGCACACAAGCTATCTACAATGTTGATCAATAGCAAAGCACGAAAAATTTATCAGCTTGTAATTACTTTACCGGGTTCATCTAATCTCTTCATCCTGCATTATTTCTGATCCACCTCCTCCATTCATCTCTGCTCTGAAAGGCTGCGTTAGTTAAACTGCTAGAAAGGTTTCTCTTGGCTCTGCTTTTGGTTCAGGCCGAGTTCAGGATATTAATTTTGCTCTTTATTTCCCTCAGATAATTGGGGAGCCAGCACACTATATTCTTTGGGAGGCACCACTTTTCTCATCTGATATTCCTGTAGATTTTACATCTGATATTTCTTGAAACTCAAGAAAACTTGCTGTAATAATTTTGCAAATACTTTAGTTTTATGTGGCTGTAACTTAGAGTCACTTCTTCCAGTTTATCAGGAGGGCATTTTAGAAGACTGAAATCATTTAGCTGAGTCATAATTACATTAACATTTGGTAGAAGTTAGGATATTATATTATAAATTTCCTAGACTTGTTCAGAGATACAACCAACGCATAAAGGATGTGGCACAGAACAGAAGAGCAGGTAACAAGAATAGGAGGCCCACCCAGACTGGGTGTCCCACTATAACATTCTACCTCTTCCCCACGCGTACTCCCAGACTGATCAGAAAACAAAATGGTTTCGTAAACTCCACCAACAGCATAACAATGTCACGTTAAAGATAAGAAAACCCATGTGCAACCGGTATAGTTTCTGCGTTAAATCCTAAAGAACCGTGAAACTGAAGTCTGTAAGGTAACAGTTCACACTCATTAACTTGCCTCAGCGGTTTCCCGGGGCGACTTGCCCTGTAAATTTCAAGCTGACGTACGAACGTTAGCTCTGCGTCGTACAGAACCACGTATCGCGGCTCCACTTCGTGGAGCACCCTGGTCAGAGCGTAGGGGTCGCTGCAGCCCAGAAGTGGGTGGATGATGGTGAGGGGGTCTTTCAGGATCCCGTACGCGGCATCAGATGGTACATTTAAATCAAACTCCTCATGCTGAATATCTTCTAAGGAGTTCTCGGGGCTGTTGCTTACGTCTCTTGGACACCCTTCCTCGACATCTCTCTCCTCGTCCACTTCTTCAGATTTCCCCATCATCTGAGTTAAAGTCAACCGTGGCTTCTTCTTTCTGAGAGCCCTCTCTTTGGCAGCAGCCCCCTCTTTGTTTCGGAGGCCTCTGGGCCTTCTGCTGGATTTCGTTGTTCTCTTTGTACCGTCCTCCTGCCTGAACTTCACCCACACGTCTTCAGCTTTGCTGTCCTTCTCAAAGGTTTTCCTGTACAGCCTCAACAAGAAGGCCTCTGCTCCGACCGCGACGTACTCCCGCAGCTGGGAGCACGTCCTGTCGTCACTTGCACAGATGAGAACTTGTCCTAAAGTTAGAAAACAACGTTATGTCGCTATTACCTCACTTGTCGCCCTAATCCCCATGGGCCCCCTCATCCCTTCCCCCACAAAGAAAACATATCTCACTCCTTGGCGCTGAAGGCACATTTACAATTTGTGTAAAAGGGTCTCAGATGCTTATCAAAGGCTTTCACCTCTCTGGCAGGATTATTTAAATCTTTTGAGTAAAGTTGAAGCTAGAAACATTTAGAGTCTTATGAAAAGTACAGCTGTGGTATAATGGAGGCTCTACAGAAGCTCATTTTAATTAATAATTTTCCAGAGGATCTTATATACCTGAATAAATTTCAAATGGATTACACAGTCAAATGTTAAATATTAAATCATTAAAAAAATGACCATTCTCCACCTCTCTAGACGAGGATGATTTTCCAGGCTTAAAAGTAATGAGAGGAATCTTAGACAAGACTGATATCTGTGATCTAAGATTGACTCTGTAAGAACAAAAAACTGTGCATTAAAGAGGCTAAAGACAAAAACAAATTTACGCAACTATAATAAATGTTAATATCTTAAATACATAAAAAGCTGATATAAACCGAGGACATAGCCTAAACTGGCAAAGGAAACTGAGACAATTTACAAGAGGAAATGCATCTGAGAAAATACTGAGTTCACCAAAACATCAAAATTTAAAACAAGATAACATTTTTCACCCATCAAATTAATAAAATTAATTTAAAATTATACATATGTAATACATGTAGACACACACAAATATATACAGAATCTCCCGTCACTGTTAGCTAGCTGAAAAAGCAATAAGCTTGTATACTTCCAAAAGATACGAAAATTGATAAAAACGTTCTGTAAATCAATGTGGTAATATGTCTTGAGAACTTTAAAACGGTCAGTATCATTTGAGTCATTAATTCTATATCCAGAAATTACATCTACACTGTAACTTTAACAATGTGAAACAGAAAACACACGAAAGAAAACCAGGAAGGAAATAATGCCAATGTTAACAGTGGCTGCTATACGTACTCTTTTTCCTTTATACTTTTCACTTTTTCTAAGTGGGCATGTACGACTTTGGGTCTTAGTCACAGCACCGTAAGTTCTGGGATAGCATCACAGCGTAATTACTCATATAAGGACTGTGTGCTGGTCTCCATTGCTTTATAGGAGGAGTTCAGCGTCTCAATAGATATTTTTAAAAATCTAGTTTTATTTTTAAAATTCAGTTCAGGTTTAGTCTGCTGTGCTAATCTACTACTATACTCATGTTTGAAGAGAGTAACCCTAAAACTTGGAATTTTTTTTAGGACTAGATCAACGCCACTCCAGAGAACAGATGAAGCTTCTTTGAAAAGATACTCGCTGAGAATCTAAAATTTAAGTCCATTAGCTTTCTCTTTGGGGATTCCAGATGTAAAAAGCCTGGTGAATATATATGTGGAGATTAGCTGCATCTTTAAACAGAAGTCCCGAGACTTTCATGAATACACAATGATTCAACCTGGAGAAAAACAGATCACATCGAACGAACAGAAACGAGGTTGTCACTAAGATTTCAGTGTTCATTTGGCACTTATTCTTCTACATTTTATAAACAAAATAATAGTGTAAGTTATTTTAAAGAGCTAATCAAAAAGACCCATATGCTAGATTTTGTACGCAAATGTCATCATCTCCTTTTTTCCCACCTGGACCACCGAGGGCTTCACTCTCCTTATTCTCTGCCTCAATTTCTTTCAGTACTTCGGTAAGTGCTTCCCACTTTGGGTTGCTTTCTAGTACCAGTTCCTTTTTTGCTTCTGTATAGAAATAAAAGATAACCTCATTCTATGTGATAATATTTATCCATAAAGTATTACAAAGGCTTTTAAAACAACAGATAACACAGGCATCATTCCATAAACCCATTCCTTTGAGCTGCCTTCATAAAGCTCTAGAGGTAGACTCTGCTTCCCTGAAAAAGGTCTGCCTCATGGTCTAAATGAAGACACTCCAAACCAGCATTAACACAGGTTTCATGATGCCTTGACAGAAAGCGATACGCACGGTCACTAACAGGAGATGACCATGTGTTAGCTGTCAACTGTGACACAGTATATAAACTGTTACACAGAACAAAGGACTCAGTAGAGAATAACAGGATTTACTATTTCTAAAATCCCCATGATTTTCCAAATCCTGAACATGATATAAGCAGGCAACAATCAAATCTTTATTTCTGTAAGTATGCAAACATGTTACTAATGTATTTAATTAAGTTTTGAAAGAGACCTGTCAAACTAGTCAGAAAGTAAGCATCAACCCTTTCCCATGCCTTAAAAAACCAACGATATTTATTATATCTACTAGATGAGTGTGGACTAAAATCCATATATGCCTCATTCTAGTATATTTATGTTTCCTAAAAGCTAAAAGGGATGTTAAAATGTACCACGAAGACTAAGTGTCCAAACAGTAATTACTCTGAAGTTTAAATAAAAAACCAATCTATAATTCTTACGTAGTAGTAAAGATACTCTTGATTGATATTTGGCATTCATTATTTGGAATCCCCTGGCAATGAATCCATACCGAATACTTTTAACATACATTGCATATGTTACATATAACATTTAGTTAACATGCAGTCACACATATGGCTGAAGGAGATTTAAACATACTGTAACTCGATAAGTATTTTCACATCACAGTCTTAAATAAAAGACATGATTAAAGACTTAAGCATACAAGATACCTTGTTCCTCTTCAATTTCCATTTTTTCAGGCATTTTGCCTTTTTTACTCATTTTGGCATCTGGAACATGATAAACCCTTGCTCGAGCATTTACAAACATCGAGGTGCTAGAGTCAAGAAACAGCCAACCTAATATGAAAAGTTAAAAAAGCCTTCAGTTTATGGTTAATTTTCGAGAACCTCTGACGGTCACACGACCATGTCCACAATCAGTCCCCAGCCTGTTCATCTCCCAACAATACCATCTCCTGTATTATGGCCCCGTCACTGTTTGGCTAGACCAGTGGTTTTCAGTGTGGCCAACAGATCCCTGGGGGTCCCTAAGGTGTTTTCGGGGTGGAGGGTGTCTGAGACCGCAAAACTATTCTCATAATACTACTAATGCGTTATTTGACTTTTTTCCACTGTGTTGACATTTCCAATGATGGTGCAAAAGCATTGGCAGGTAATGCCACTGGTGGCTGAGCACAAATGAAGGCAGTGGGACCAAAGTGTACCAGAAGTCAGTGTATTCCTCAGTGCTATGCATCTGTAGTTTATTACTTAAGAATGTCTCTGGTGAAGCAGTAAAAAATATTAACCTTATTAAATCTTGGCCCCAGGGGCACCTGGACCACATTTTAAAAATCATCGCTCTAGCCAAACAGTGAGAAAGGTCACAGTAGTGGGGGAAGAATGTGACTGACAGAAAAACAAGATGGTGGACAGCTGTGTATGATATGTCCCTACACATTTCTTCTTCTTCAGCACTTCACTGATGAAACTCCATATTCCCTTGCTGTTTCTTTGGGAAAATGAATTTTAAGTTCATAACAATTAAACTTTCAGAACATAACCTGTTTTTAAGTTGGGGATATACAGTTTTTTCTAGAAATAAAATTGCCCAGAATGGATGTGAATGTTTATTATTATACAGAACAGAAGTTAAGCAGGCGGAAACATTAGCTATCAATAAGGCCTACATCCTTGTGCTATAAACATAAAATGTAATTTGAGATCTTAGTATACCATGTAGTTGAACATAGCACTCCCCACACCTGAATCCTCAACAAAACCCAGTACTTTATTCAAATCAGCTCCTAGAATAATATTAGTATTTTTATTTCCCACCTGAATTCTGACCAAATGCCTTCTCTGTTGCTCTGAGAGATTCCAGAAGATTAAGAAATGTGACACAATCATATTGAGAGAGATATTGCAGCAAAGTACGTAATATCTTCAAATCCTGAACCAAGGATTTAGTCTTGGCTCCAAGCTGGTGCCACAAAGGATCCAGATAATGGCGGATTGTCTAAAACAAGAATAAAATTTAGTACTGCTAAAATATGTTCAATATAGCTATTATGAATACAAGTTACACTTTCAACAAACATTATCCCTTGTATACCTAAAAAATGGTTAAAATGATAAATTTTGTTACATATATTTTACCATAATAATTTTTAAAAAATCCAAAACATTATCTCCCAAAGAAGTGGACAGAAAAGTTAAGTTCATAAGATTCTAATAATAATGTTTAGTTTTTCAAATATAAAGCAGAGTATCATAATTAGAATCTTTATGATCAGAGAATCAATTCGTAATTACCCATGTTACATTATTAGGAGAAAAAAAGGCCTGATAAATATCAGATAATCAAATGAATAGTTTAAAAAGAATTTCAATTTCTGCCAAGTTTGGTTGTGACCCTATCTCAGACGGATAAGACGTGAGATCCAGTTGGATGATGAAGCAGAGGACACAAATTAGGGAAACTACATGATATCAAATTAAATAACAGTGGACCTTAATTTATTGATATAAAAGATTTCTTTAGTTTTTGTTTTAAAATGTGATTCATGAATACAAAAACATTTGTTAAATTAACAACTCACCAAATATGAGTACTTTTTAAAATCTTTAAAAATTTGCGTAAAACACGGAAGAGCTTTATGTACACACCATGTAAGTATTTACATATCCACAGCTGTATATATGTACATTTCTTTCACAAGCTGACTCTGTAACTAAAAGGGATAATACTTCTGCACGATATGGAAACAGTTTTATTACATGGCAGCTTATCAACATACACTGACTGGGAGTAATATTTGGATGACCATACAATTTATTGTCCAAACTAGGACTCCTGTGAAGATGAAATGGAACTATTAAGAATTACTCCAGGACAACAGGCAGATACTGGGGCTGTCTGAGATAATATGGGACACATAACTCTTCTGTAAGTCACCTTTTGTAAAATCATCTACAAAAGTTAAATTTTCTAACAAGATGCAAATTATGCTTATAATTTGTTTTGGTTTCTAAAAGAATACCTAAAACAGTACTTTGACTTTTACTAGCCAGGGGATGATAAAAAGAAACTTAGTGCAAAACATATCTGGTTATATTTTGTTTTTCTAGGAACATACATATTCTATTAAAAATGTGTGAGAATTTTTTGTTTGTGTTATTTTGGTATATCATGCACTAAATTATAATAAACTTCGTTGAAAATAGAAGAACAAAACGCATGAAATTAGTTTTACATATCATCATTTCACAGTAAAATGATTTTTTTGGAAGAATCAGAAAAATGAGGACTTAATTTTCTTTTTTTAAAATCACTATGCATTATTTCCAAAGATACTGATTCAGTGTTTGAAAGATAGGAATTTGTTCTGCCAAAAAAAAAAAAAAGCTGCCTGGAATTTTGTCAAAGTCATCATTTTCAGGACCAACAATTCAATTTCAGATATTTATATACCTATATTAATATTAATCTATGATGAAAAAATTAATTAGAATTAAAATTCCTTGAACTAAAGTCTTACCATTTTCTCAATTCAGAATGTAATTTTAAGACAGACCAAGTTTCATATTCCTCAGCAATCAAAATTCATCCAAATTATTTTTATTCCAAATAAGAGATCATAAATTATGAAGTATTCTATGTAAACTCTTCTACCTGTTGATATCCAAATGTTGTCATTTCAGAGCAAAAGTTCATTTATCGTCCTCTTACATACACTGAACATAAGAGACAATCATTGTACAACTGCAAAAATCAGAGTTGTGCTTATGTGCCAATCAATGTAATTTACTACAAATTACTTTTCAGTAAAACAAAAAAGCTATACTTTCAATCACCTCCAATTTAATCCTAAATTAACAGCAAATTCCTATTAAGAACACTATAAATATTAAATTAACTTGCATTCTTTAAAATTACAACATAACAAACTGCTAAAACAGGAAAAGAAACAGAGTACCTTGTCAAAAGGTTTTCCAATAGCATTTTCTAAAGATAAATCTTCGACTTCCAGTGATGGGTTATGGCATTTCAGTTCCTTCAGACACGCATTTAAAATGTCCAGAATAGCAGTCTGTATAGCACGCATGGCAGGTGTCATAGAAACATGAATTTCTACGACTTCGGGTTTATGCTGTTCTAAAAATGAGTTTACTGCTACATGGAACCTAGAGAGACAAATATTTTTCAAATATTTTCTAGAGTTGCAAGAGCTCTGTGTTTCTGGTCTTGGGGTAATACTCCAACAGCTTTTTTGTAAATGCAACTAAGAAACAAAATGGAAAGCAAAATGACAACGTTTTCAGGAATACTTTTAACCTCTATGAACGGAAGTATTATTCAAATAAGGCAGGGGCCAGCAAATTGTGGTCTGGGCCAAACCCAGTGCCTGCTTTTATAAACAGTCTGACTGGCACACAGCCACACCCGCTGTTTACATGTTGTTTACGGCTGCATTCGCACTGTCACAGCACAGCTGAGTAACTGTGACAGACGCGTGGCCTGCAAAGCCTAGAACATTACTACCTGGCCCTTTACAGGAAAAGTATGTTGATCCCTGACATAAGGTATAATCAAAGCAGGAAAAGACCACAACAACTACTCCCAAATGCCGTACACTAGAACCAAAATACATATTAGCACAGGTTGCAAAATGTTTGAAAATTGAAACTTTATGTTTTCCCTAGAAATTTAGACAAATTCTTCAAAGTCTTGGTGCTTTCTTTCCCTGATTTGTAATTTTCACAGTGGAAGTCGGAGTCTCAGCCATAAATCTGTAGTTCACCTAAAGCAGTTGTACATGTGACTCTCCAGATCCCTGGGGTTTCATGACACGTACAACAAAGTGGCTGCCCTGGGCTACCAGAAAAATAACAATCGAATCTCTCTCCTTTTAAAAGAATCACAAATGTGGTGACCACATATTTATACCTGGATGCACTTGTCATGAACCTGACTGGCACGCATCAAGTGCAATGACAGCAAATTTTACATTAAAGAGCAAAATTACGGTAGATTCTCCCACAGAAATCTGTCAAAATGTTTTTTACCTTGGCCACAGATACAGCTTCTTCACGAAAAGATTTCTCATCACTCTTTCCACGTGACAAAAGCCAGTGTCAAAGGCAATGGCATTGTCTGTGAAAGCTTTAATGAAACCACGTTTGTTTTTCTGTCGAAAGAGGCGCAAGATGAATGCTTCTTGACAAGAATCGATTATTCTGTGAGCTCTATACACCAAGATGCCTGGGGGGGAAACCACAACTTATAGCAGAGATCAGACGTGCCGTTTTCACGCTCACTTTCATTCGTTTACTTGTCACATTCTTCCTGAATGTCTACTTGAGCGTGGGCAAGCTCTGTTCTAGGCTGGGGATACAGCCGTGAATAAAACACATAAATCTCTCCCATGGCATTTGCAATAAACAACACAAATAGGTAAAATATTTAGTAGGTTATCAGGTGATAAGTGCTAAGGAGAGAAAATGAATGAGAAGGAGGAGAGGGAGTATGTGTGAGGCGTGGTGGTTTACCATTTTATTACTTATTTAATCTTTTAAAAAAAATTGGAGTATAGTTGCCATACAATATTATGTAAGTCACAGGTGTACAATATGTGAGTCACAATTTTTAAAGGCTATACTCCACTTATAGCTATTACATAATATTGGCTACATTCCCCGTGTTGTACAATATATCCTGGTAGCTTATTTTATACCTCTTAATCCCCCATCTCTACACTGCACCTCCCCACTCCCTTCTCCCTACTGGTAACCACTAATTTGTTCTTGATATCTATGAGTCTGCTTCTTTTTTGTTATATTCACTAGTTTGCTGTATCTTTTAAGGTTTGCAGTTTTAGATAGGGTGGCCTCACTGAGGTCTAATGTGAGTGAATGCTGGATGGAGATGGGGGTGAGCCTTGTGACCATGTGGGCCCAGAGAGTTCGGACCTGAGAGAATGCCTACAGCAAAGGCCCCGGGGTGGGGCGTATCTGGCCTCGTGGAGGAAGCATTTCTGAAAGCGAAATGGGTTGCTCACTCTTTCATATATGAATCAGATGTGAACGACGCAAAATAGCTGCCTTTCACAAGTTTAGGCAACATCTGCAGCACCTACTAGAAGAACTCAACTTTCAGAATCAGAGTATATTCAATTGGGAGGTAAATTAGTCCATTTGAAATAAAAATTTTTAATAAATATGCTTAAAACACCTGTTTTGGGGGGTGGAGGGGATAATGACACCTCTGAATCACAAAAACAAGGACAATTATACATGTTCCCTTATCTATAAAATGCGAGTACTGGACCAGCTGATCTCTCACATGCACATATTTCATGTATGTGCCATTCAGGTGCAGTGTGATTAGTGGTAAATTAGAGAGAAACATGAGATGATAAAAAGTGCATAGATGCCACTTCCAACTCAAAAACTCAAATTATTCTATGATGACTCTCAGCCTTTTAGATCTAAACCAAGCCAGTTACTATATGTATATTTGCTATAAATGCCCCTGCATGTTTTCCCTCCCATTCTCATCACTCCCAGGATCTAGAAAATGACACTGACAGGAATTCATGACTCCTATTAGTTCAACAGACTCAAATCTGATTTCACTATTTTGGTGTTTAAATTTTAGCTCGAGGTGGATAGGGCTAAACTTTATTCTAGCTAAGCAAACTGGTTTTCAAATATGGTAAAAATTAATGGTGCTATTTAGGAATTTGTAGACTAAAGATTTTCAGTAAACCCAATGTGTGTATGTATATGTAACTAATTTACTACTCAGAAAATATTCTGTACATGGCAAGTACTCTACTGGGCCACACTTGTTGGCCTGGACTGAAATAATAAAAACAGACTTCTAAGTTAGAAACAATAAAAACAGACTTCTAAGAAAAGGTGACTCTCAATTTAAGAAAATGGTGTGCTACAAAGGTTGTCCTTGTTTTGGAATCCAGAAGAAGGGAGAAGAAGACAACAAATATTCTATCCTAGGCATTGCGATACTTAAGGTACTTTTACAGATTTGTATTTCATTTAATCCCCACAACAACTCTATGGGGTAGGTATTATTATGAGGCCAAGAAAGGGTCCCAGACTTGACCAAGGTCACCCCCCGAGTAAATGGGAGACCAAAGGTTCCAAATCACGACTGTCTGAGATCAAAGCCATGTTCTTCCTACTAAGTGACATCATCGAGGACCACCACCCTCCTTTAAAAACATACAAGCAGGTTAGGTTTCTGGCTAAACTTGCCCACAGTCACACAGATGATACCTTGTGAGGGTGGTAACTCAGGAGAGCATCCTAATTTCTCGTCATCTTTCTGTCTTCAGCACCTACTTCATTCTTGTCAAGTAAGGGATCATTAGTGAATTAAACGTTTGTTGAATGAATATAATGCTGCAGTACAGCACTGGGTGCACAAATCTAACATGTAACTTTTTTTTTTTCAGTTTCCCACAAAAAATGTGTGTTCTGAGCTTTATCTGGAGATGCTAAGATCTGTTTTAGAAATGAAAGAATCCTCCTGCCCCATTCTTTTGAAAGTACAACCTGGGCAGATATTTACCAGTTCTCCCACTCTTTAGGAGCTGTGGTTGGCAGGGATGCCTTGGGTGGACTGTGGGGGTGATAGCGGGCAGTGATGGGCAATAAGCTAGGGCTATGCACACTGATTACTTTCCAGCAGGTGACATGCTTCTGGGCCTGCTCTTTGGTCTATAACAGCTGTGGTGACAACTCCTGCAAGGGCTCCGGGGGAGCTGGGAGGATGATCCCAGGGGTGGAGCATTTGAAGGAGTTCATTTCTGGCATTCATTTGTGTTCCATTCAGCAAAACAGCAGTAACAGCTCCAGCTTCATTACTGGCTGGGCCTTGATTGAAGTGGGAACAGAATTTTGTACTTTTAATTAGGAACTACCTATAAACTATATTTGGGACATTTCTCTGATTCAGACTGCTGTCTGCCTAATTAGGTTAAACTGTTACTGAGTCAGAGAGTAATCCTGACATCTAGTGGTCATTTCAATACTTTTTTTTAACTTTATCAACTTAAAAAGTAAGGAAACATAAAACTAAATTTTAACAAAGCAGCAATGTATCAAGATTTCTGGTAATAAGCCAATTTTTTGTTATTATTTATTATTCACTATGTAGCAGGCACTATACTAAGCAATTTATTTATTTTACCTCACTTAGTCCTTATGATAACTTTATAAGGAACTAATTTCTCAATTTAAGCAATGAGAAAACTGAGGCTTGTGAAAATTAAGTAACTTGCTTGTAAGCAGTGTCATTACTCTTCAAAGTGGGTCTGACCCTGATCCTTCAAAGTCAAGTGAGTCTGACAGCTAATGTCATACTCAGTAGTGAAAAGCTAAAAGCTTCCTCTAAAATCAGGGACACAACAAGGATGTCCACTCTTGCCACGTCTATTTAACACAGTATTGAAAGTCCTAGCCTCAGCAATCAAACAAGAAAAAGAAATAAAGGCCTCCAACTTGGAAGTGAAGAAGTAAAACTCACTATTTGCAATGACATTATACTACATATAGAAAATCTTGAAGACTCTACCCAAAAAACTATTAGAATATGTAAATTCAGCAAAGTTGTAGAATACAAGATTAATACACAGAAATCTATTTTATTCCTATACACTAACAATGAGCTGTTAGAGAAATCAAGAAAACAATCCCATTTAAAATTAAATCAAAAAGAATAAACTATCTAGAAATAAATTTAACCAAGGAGGTGAAGGACTTGTACTCTGAAAACTATAAGACATTGATGAGAGAAATTAAAGACAATACAAATAAATGGAAAGATATCCTGTGTTCATGGATTGGAAGAATTACGACTGTTAAAATGTCCATACTACCCAAAGCAATCTACAGACTTAATGTACTCCCCATCAAAATATCTATGACATATTCATAAAGCTAGAACAAATAATCCTAAAATTTGACTGGAACCACAAAGGGCTCCAAATAGCCAAAGCAATCTTGAGAAAAAAGAACAACGCTGGAGGTGTCATGCTCCCTGACTTGAGGCTATACTATTAAGCTACAGTAAGCAAAACAGTATGGTACTGGCCCCAAACCAGACACACAGATCAACGGAAGAGAGTAGAAAGCACAGAAACAAACCCATACACATATGGTCAATTAATCTATGACAAAGTAGTCAAGAATATACAATGGGGAAAAGACAGTCTTTTCAATAAGTGGTTTTAGGAAATCTGGACAGCTATATGTAAAAAAATGAAATTAGAACATTTTTCTCACATCACATACAAAAATAAACTCAAATGGATTAAAGACGTAAGTGTAAGACCTGAAACCATAAAACTCCTAGGAGAAAACAAAGGCAGTATACTCTTTGACATCAATCTTAGCAATAATTTTTTTGATGTCTCTTTAAGGCAAGGGAAACAAAAGGAAAAACAATCAAATGGAACTACATCAAACTAAAAAGCTTTTGTACAGCAAAGCAAACCAACCAACAAAACGAAAAAGCAACCAACTATGAAAGAAGATATTTGCAAACAATATATCTGATAAGGGGTTAGTATCCAAAATATACAAAAAAATCTCATACAACTCAACATCAAAAAACCGAAAAATCTGATTAAAACATGGGTGGAGGACTTGAATATGCATTTTTCTAAAGAAGACATACAGATGGTCAACAGACACAAACAATGAGGTATTACCTCACTCTTCTCAGAATGTTTATTGTGAAAAAGACAAGAGATAACAAATATTTTCAAGGGTGTGGAGAAAAGGGAACCCTCGTGTACTCTTGGTGGGAATGTAAATTGGTACAGCCACCATGGAAAACAGTATGGAGGTTCCCCAATAAATTAAAAACAGAACTACCATATGATCCAGCAATTCTACTCCTGGCTATTTATTTGAAGAAAGCAAAAACACTAATTCCAAGATGCATGTACCCCAATGTTCATAGCAGCATTATTTATGACCAAGGTATGAAAGTAATCTAAGTGTCCATGAATAGATGAAAGGATAAAGAAGATGTGGAATATAAATACAATAGAATATTACTCAGCCATAAAAAAGAATGAAATTTTGCCATCTGCCACAACATGGATGGGCCTGGAGGGTATTATGCTATGTGAAATAAGCCAGACAGAGAAAGACGAATACTGTATGTTTCCACCTATATGTGGAGTCTAAAAAATAAAACAAATGAACAAATATAACAAAACAGAAACAGACTCACAGATACAGAGAACAAACTAGTGGTTGCCAGTGGGGAGAGGTGTGAGGGGAGGGGCAAAATAGGTTAAGGGCATTGAGAGGTACAAAAACTACTAGGTATAAAATAAGGAAGTTAAGGACGTATTTGTACAGCACAGGGGTATAGTCAATATGTATAACAACTTTGTATGGAGTATAATATATAAAAATACTGAATTACTATGTTGTACACTTGAAACTAATATTGTAAGTTATACTGAAAAAATTTCAAATCATGGTAAAAAATACTCTTTAAAGAGGAAAACCAAATACATTTAGGAAATATACAAAGAATATTTATAAACATTTCAAATCTGATTAGTTTGTAAAGGCAAATGTCAGTCAATTACTAAGCATTTACTGAATATGAGCTTTGAAACCAAAGACTTGTCAATCTTATATTTAGTTTCTGATTCAGGCCACAAATATTCACTGAGCATCCAAAATGTGTCTGGTACTGTGTTAATACCTGGAAGCACAATGTTGAGCAAAAATATCCAGTGTTGTTCACAGGAAGGTTTTTGCAGAAGGAACAGACACGAGCAGAAAAAAAAGAAAGTGTAAACGTATATACAAATAACAATAAGGTTTCAAATTCTTACCAGTAATTAAATCTGAGGGTATTCTGTCAGTCAAGAAGTCAACCACAAGTATTCGACTGGTTGCAAATATCACACCGCCTTGTGTGTAAACCTCATAGCGATTGTTACTTGTGATTTCATTCGTTACACGGCGAGGGAGGTGTTCAATTCCTTCTATCTTCAGCTGATTGATAAAATACTCCTAAATCAAATCAGACTTGATTAGTAGACTGTTTAATACAGGGCAGTTTTTATTAAGTTGTAAGTATTTGTATTCAGAATGACACGCTCCCTTTTTCAGAGACCATAAGCCTAGTAATGAACATACAAACAGAATTAGCACTTTTATGTTGATCAACCAAACAATCTACATTTAACTAGGGTTTTGTTTCTGTTTTGCGGTTTGCACTAAGGACTCACTGCACTTGAGATGTTATTAGCAGTTCAACAACAACAACAACAAAAGACTTAAAGTCCTGGATTAAAAGACTTCTGCCACCTAGAACACTGCCCGCCAAAGCCAGTTTTGCAGGCAAGTGTACCATGTGAGAAGATAACAAGGGAATTCTTTTCCCAGGTGGTGTTGTAGACTATTAGTTCTGTCCTGATGCACCCTAGAGGGGATTTCATCGTGTCACTGGGGCTCTTGGTCCTTTACACTTCCAGTTCAATACCGTCTCTACTGCGGCCTCTGGATCGCGCTAAGCCCTAATCAAGCACTGGGGATAGCTACATGAATGACTGGTCCCCGCCCTCAAGAAGTCTGTGGTCACTCTTCTCAATTGGCATTTTCCTTCTGGCCACCTGCTCATCAGACTTGTCACACCAGGCTGTCACCTCTCATTACCCCACAGCACAGGTACATCTTCCTTCCACCTTCCTGTGTCCTCCATTCCGCCTAACCCAGGTACCCTTCCCCAATATCCTCAGCTTCCAGCTCTCTTCTGTTCTGATCCTACGTCCCTCTTCCCACAGCCTGGGTGAACCTCCGGTCCCTCTTCTTCCCTACAGGGTCGTCCCCAGCCTCGGCGTCTCCTTTCACGTCTCCTCATTCCCCTCAGAGATTCTTCCATCTCCATCACTGTTCCTTTTTTAGGGACCTCACTCCCCTGGCTCAGCAAGGCCCTTGATACCCAACTTTGGGACTGCCTCATAACTCCCGTCCTTATTCTCCTCCAGACACCTCCCCATCCTCTTCAGAGACCTCCCATCCCTCTCCCCACCTCTATCTTTCTCAAATGACTCCCCTTCTCCTCTCAGAGACCCTCCAACCCCCGCAGTGTCCTCCCACCCGTGTCAGGGCCGCGCATCTTCCTCAGGACCCCTCCACCCTCTCAGTGTCCTCGCACCCTGTCAGGGTCCTGCATTCTCCTCGGGACCCCTCCCACCTTCTCAGCGTCCTCGACCCGTGTCATGGGCCTGCAGCTGTCCCGGGGACCGCTATTCATCGCCCTCCCGCCCGCGTCCCGCCTGCATCGCTCTCAGAGGCGTCGCCTCCGTGCCCCGGCCGGCGTCCGCTCCGGAGTCCCCAAGAGCTCCCGGAGTCCCCTCAGCCCCGCGCCGGCGGCCGCACCTCCTCGGCCGGCTGCGTGTTGAGCACCAGCACCAGGCATGCCGGGTGGCAGTGCAGCTGTAGGAAGTGGTAGAGGAGCCGGTCCGCGCCGAGCCCGCGGGCGCACACTACCAGCCCGTCCGCATCCAGCAGTTCCAGCACCAACTGCCGCTCGTATTCCAACAGCGGCGCCATAGCTGTCGGTGGAGCCGGCACGCCCGGCTCCATGGGCGCCCTTCCGGGGCGGCGGCCGAACGGAGCCGAAGAGAGCCGAGTCTGAGACGAGCGTGGGCCGAACGCAGCCGAGGAGAGCCGAGTCTGAGACGAGCGTGGGCCGAACGTAGACAAAGAGAGCCGAGCCCGCGAGGACGAGAGCTTGCCGAATGTAGCCGAAAAGGAGCCGAGCCCTAGAGGACGACGCTGGCCGAACTCAGCCAAAGAGGAGCCGAGTGGAGCCGATTCGTAAAGTCGCTGGGAGTGGCTAGCGCTCTCCAGGCTTCAGGCTCCACCACCGAGTCTTCAGTTATTCCACCTTATCCGGCATTTTTTAAGAGTCAGGCGGCCTAGAACACAAGCTACCACAAAGCAAGAGAGGAGAATTAAACCCAAGGAGCTTAGTTCCTCGACCTTGACAACTGAAAAAGTTAACTGTCAATCTAAGGAGTTCACCTAGAGTTGGTAGTACTTGCTTCCCAGAATGAGATTTGCTTCTTACTTTAGCAGATGCTCTTCCCCTTTAAAATTTTTTTGAATAAGCAGTATAGTTTATTAATTTCAGGTTCTTGTTTCGCTGTAAAGGTCTTGAATACAATTAGCCATTTTAAAAGTCTCAACCAGGTGTCCCCACGGCAGCCGCGTCTTCCACTAGAGGGACACCTTCGGTAGTATTTGTGCTATACCTAGAAACGCCTGTTTAACTAGAGGAATTATTCTGTCTCGACATCCCTTCTCCCCCAACCTTCACTGTTAGAAAATAAAAAATACTGTATTAATAAGCAAAAATAAGAATCACTTCTTATTCCATTACCCAAAAATGATCACTGTAACTTCATGAAATACATACTTTTTGTCTTTAAAAAAAACAAACTCTTTCACCACACAGAATTCTCTTACTAATATGAAATAATAAGTAACCCTGATTGAAATCTCGAGTTTGTCACTATCATTTGACAAACCTCTGAATATGGTATTTAATATTCTTTTACAAAATCCTTTTACATGGCTGATGAATTTCCGCAACGAGGATGTACCATATTTATTTAACTAACCCCTTATTAGTGGACATTTTGTCTGTTTCTGCTCTTTCCTGTCGTATCATAAATAGTATTTCACTGACCATCTTTGTACATAAACTCAACCATCCTAAGTTACACTTCAGAAATGGATGCTTACTGGGATAAAGAGGACAAATATTTATAAGGCTTTTCATTACATTCGTATTGCCACATGGCCCTCTAGAAAGCCTGTACCAGTTTACGTTCACACCAGCAGTTTACAAGAGCATCTGTTTCTCTATCTCTTACTGCTTAATCCAGCACTTCACATACATTTTGTCAAGATTGAAACAGCATATAATGATTCCTAAATGCTGGTGAAATGGAAAAGGATGTTTGCAGACACTCTATATACAGCAGTTCTTATGAGAGAGAAATGCATTTCACTTTTGCAAGTGAGAAAATGGAGACTCAGGGAAGTTATGTAACTTGGTTAAGACCACCAAACTTGTTAGTATATTTCTTAGATTTAGTTCAGGACATGGTAAGTAGGGACTCAACACAAATTTAGGATATGCATGTTGAAGTGATGATGCTGAAATTCAAATCTGATTCCAAGCTGTGATATGCAGAGTAATGGCTCCCTAAAGATGTCCATGTCCTAATCCCTGGAACCTGTGAATATGTCACTTTATGTGCCAAATGGGACTTTGCAGATGTGATTAAGTTAGAGATTTCAAGATGGGAAGGTTATCTTGGATTATCCAGGTGGGTCCAATGTAATTACCAGAGTCCATGTATGGTAAGGAGGGAGAGACAGGAGGTTCAGAATCAGAGAAGACATGCCAATGGGAGCAGAGGTTGGAATGTTGTCACAAGGGCCACAAACCAAGGAATACAGCTCTTAGAAGCTGGAAAAAGGCAAAGAAATGATTTCTCCCCTAAAGCCTCCTGAAGGAACACATCTCTGCAAACACATTTTGGACTTCTGAACCCCAGAACTGGAAGATAATGAATTTATGTTGTTTTAAGCCACTAAGTTTGTGGTCATTTGCTATAGTAGCAATGGGAAACCAATACACTTACTATTTCTACTACACTGATCTGTAAAGATGAAGTCCCCAGCTCATGAAAACAAAACACAACAAAACAAAATAAAAACAAAACATAGATGGGGGTGTATAATGAAGCAATAATTTTGGAGGGTGCTTGGTCAATACATAGAAATTGAAAATATCTGTATAGATCCATATGCATATGAAGATGTATTTATCCCACAAATGTTTACTGGGCACCCACTACGTGTCAGGCATTGTACTAAGTGCTGGGGGTTCATCAGTGAAAGAAACAGGTAAAATCTTGGCCAGCATAGGACTTGTATTCTGATGGGGACCTTGTATTCTGATGGGGAAGATGTTTATTCATCATATCATTTTGTGAACTATTGTTATTTCTCAAGTATTTATCCTGAATGTCCTATACTAAGAGACTAGTGAAAAACTCCTTCCTGCATCCCTGAAAAGTGGGCTATCACACAACTCTTATAAGCTGTATATGACAAGATAACCAACCTATGCTGTTATATCCTGAAAAAAGCAGTTGCAAAACAGTAATGTACAAGATGGTTCCATTTGTCTAAAACATCAGTGAACAGTATTTTCTTATGACTGCATAGAAGGGCTGTTAACAAAAGTAATTGCTTCTGGGAGTTGAAATGGATGGTTGGTGTAAGGTAAGACCTTTACATTTCAGTTTATTCCCTTCTGTTCTGTTTGACTTTCTTATCATGAACTTATATTGGTTTTATAATTAAAACATAAGAAAAAACGTCCCAGGTACCAAATAAACACTTTACTAGCACTGCATAATATTACCTAGATTACCTGAATTCTACATTTAATATGTATTTGCTAGGCAATTATGTCAAAACTAGGTATCTGGGGAAGAAGACTTTTGTAAATTCTAACAGATGTGTCCAGATATTACAGTTTCGTCTATGGGCAAAAGTTTTCCACTTAGAGTAAAGGATTCTTTTTTTTCTATATCACTGTCACAATAATTCTCCAGACCCTTCCTTGGTTTTTAGGTTGTTCTGATGACCAGAGCCAGCTCTCCTCCAGGTCATTTTGTTTCAGTTTTGCCCACAAGGTCACAGGTCAGGCAGCAGCCCTTTAGTCTTTGGGGAATGAAATTAGCATCATTTTCCTCCTGACCCAAGGTGGAACCTAGCACACCTCAGTTAACCTGAGCTTGACTGCTGTAGGTAGGCCGCTATAATTTCTCTTAGAACCTCAGTCTTTCACATGTATATGGGGAATGCCTACTGAATCCAGAGGCTGGAGAAAAGATAAAGAGAGAATGCCTCCTAGACTTAATGCCTCTCCTAGGAACAGATCCCCATTGGACCTCTTAGAGTTTGCTTGTATGGGTTCAGGGTTTATGCTGTTAGTCAGAAAGACCTGGACTTGAAACCCAGCTCAGCTACCTACTATCTGTGTGACCTCTGCAAGTTATTTAACCTCTCTGTGCCTGAGTTGCCTCATCCTTAAAATGGGGCTGATAATAGGACTGACCTCAGGGGGTGGTTGTAGAGATTAATTAAGATGAAGAATATAGCAGGATATGAACAGTCATTCAATTTAAATCAGAAACTTAATGACAATTGCTTTAAGGGGATCCAAACCATTCTAGGATCTGAGGCGCCTGTCCTTCAAGGATGGAAACCAAACATTTCCCCTTCTCAGGAGTGTCTGCCACCTGGATCCTCTCTGCCCTCCAGTAAGGGGAAAGTAGTTTGCAGTTGCTAATTATTTGGGCTCTGGTTTTAAAACACCTTAAAGATGATTGTGAGAAGAGGAATGAAGAGGGCATTGCTTAAGAAGTTGAAGGAAGACTGGGGGTATGAGGAATGAGGACCAAACAACGAGGTTTCTAGGTGGGGCCTGAAATTCTGGGACCTGCTCTCAGGAAAGATGTCTAGCCCACTGCCTGGAATGGCAGGACTGAGAAGAGGCCCCAAGAGGCCATGAGTCACAAGCACCTCCCACCAGGAGCCTACAACCCGCACCCCACCTCAGTTTATAAGTCAGGGCTGGGGTTTGCAGTCCCAGCACCCTGTCTATGCCTAGCCAAGCTGGCACATGACATTAATCATCATAAATAGAATTATAATATATCTATGGTGTTAAAATGTCACGGGGAAAACAATTAGGACAAATAATGTCTTAAAAGGTAATAAACGAGGGGGGAAAAGGATGGGAGGGATAACTTAGGAGTCTGGGATTTGCAGATACTAACTACTATGTATAAAATAGATAAACAACAAGGTCTTTGACACAACACTGTAAAATGACTATAACTCAAGAAAAAATGTTTAAAAAAATAAATAAAATAAAATAAAAGCATATAAAAAAACAAACAAAAAAACCACAACAAGGTCCTATTGTATAGCACAGGGAACTATATTGAGTATCTTGTAATAACCTACAATGATAAAGAATACATATATGTATAACTGAATCACTATGCTGTACACCAGAAACTAACCCAACATTGTAAATCAACAATACTTTAATTTTAAAAAAAAGGTGATGCTGCAAATGGCATTATTTTATTCCTTTTTATGGCTGAGTAGTATTCCATTGTATAAATATACCACATCTTCTTTATCCAGTCATCTGTCGATGGACATTTAGGTTGTTTCCATGTCTTGGCTATTGTAAATAGTGCTGCTATGAACACTGGGGTGCATGCATCTTTTTGAATTAGAGTTCCCTCTGGATATAGGCCCAGGAGTGGGATTGCTGGATCATATGGTAAGTCTATTTTTGTTTTTTGAGGACTCTCCAAACTGTTTTCCATAATGGCTGCACCAAAGTACATTCCCACCAGCAGTGTAGGAGGGTTCCCTTTTCTCCACACCCTCTCCAGCATTTATCA